ATAATAAAGGTCCAGGGTCAGCCAGCTCTGAACCCTGGTTGAGAGGGGAATTGAACACAACGGAGAGGAGGGAATGAGATGGCTGGGGGGAATACAGGGTAAATATTAATCTTTAATTAAAACCCTTCACAGCAAGCAGTCTGGAGATGGATCTCCTGTTGTAGAGGAGAACATGGACTGTTGGGTGACCCACCAGCCCAGGCTGGCCGAGGACCTCTGCAGGCAACGGCTCTGCTCTGCTCCGTATGAGCAAATACGCAGCTGATGTGGGCAGGAAGGCAGCAAGTCCACCAGGACTATGGTTTTCTTCAGTTCCTGCACAGGCCTTGCTAATTATAGCAGTTTTCCCCCAGGTCCATGGCTGCATTGGCCTTTGGTGTGCCTGGCTCCTTTTTTCTGGTTCGTTCTGTCCAGGCTATTTTCGCTGCACAAGGTCAATGCCAGCACTGTCAAGGCTGGTGGAAATTCATTTGGAGGACAAAGGGAGATGAAGCATATGCCCCAGGACAAAGTAAAAGAAGTCCAGAGTGAATTGGTTTCCTTTTTCTTCTCCTCCTGTTCATGAAAGGATTGGTCTTGGAAACGTCTCATTTTGTTTCATTTCTAAATAATGCTTTCTTTGTTGTTAGTGTTTGTTTTTTTTTTTTTATGCTGGTTGCAGATTAGCATTTTTATTTAGCTTTTTTTTTTTCTTTTTTTTTTCCTTTTTTTTCTAATAAACAAGAATATTAACCACTAAAGTGAAAAAATATGTATTTAGGAATCCCAGAAGAATACATTTGACTTTCTGAAAATGCACAATTCTTCTTTTTTTTTTTTTTTTTTTTTTTTTTTTTTTTTTTTTGGCTTTTAGCCTGAGTTTGTCTTTTCCTTCCTTTTCCTTCTCCCTCACTAGATACTATGGAGTTCACATTTGTTTATCTTCACAAAGAAGAAACCTATCACTACAAGAAATGGTAAAGTTTCCAGCTTGTTGTCAGTGCAACATGCAAGTAGTGTTGGTAGAGCCCACCAAGAGCAGGTAGACTCTGAAGCCTCTTTTAAGCAAATTCTGAGATGAAAAGGGTGTAAAGAACACAGGTCTAACCTATTTGGAGGACTGAATCCAGTTAGGTTACAAGATACGTGAATGACACCCATTCACTTTTTTGGGGAGGCCGGATTCGTTTGAATTGACCAGCTTCAGAATGAGGCCTTTGAGTCCAGCTCTAAGGCTTCTTAAAAGAGGCAGTGATGAAACTTCATTTCCATACCTGGCTCTCTTTCAGTTTTTGAGGTTATATGCCCACCTGCAGCTGGATGAGTTTTATGCAAAGAAGCGTTGAAGCAAATCAATCAAATTAATAGCTTATGTATCACAGAAAAGAAGAAATTCAGAGGAAGTCTGTGTGGCTGGCTAACATTCCTTTTTAGTTCAAACTACAAGATTATAAAATATATAAATTTCTTTGTCTTAGCAAAATGTAGAGTTGTGGGAGACAAAGCATAGGAGATGTCAGCAAATTGGTGACTGATGTGATAATTATCTTCCTCTGGGCTTGATCTGAGAGTTGGTGGCCAGATCCCTCCACAGCCAGCTATTCATGCCTCCTATGGTTGGTCTGATATTCACTTCCATCTGCTCCTCTATACCTTCCATTCATACTGAGCTTGGTTTTCCCTTTTTTTTTTCTTCTTCAATGCTTCTTCCTTCTGGCAGCCCATTTCTATTTAAGCCTGAGATCCACAATTTTTAAGTCATTTCTGAGTTGGGCTGACAAGATCGTTTCCAGTAACTGATCTCTGTGACCCAGTCTTATCTGCAGGTGAAAGTTTATGACTTTTCCCCCAACTCTCTAAATATTTATAATTGTTAAAAAAGGAAAAATAATAGAAATGGTCACCCTTACATCCTCCACAATAAAGAACATGAATTTTTGTTTCAGAGCATGCTTTACTACAGTCTCAGCAAACATTTCATCTCCCTCTCTTTGCACCAAAGAAAACAGAATAAAATTCCAGTTGTTTTTCCTCTTTTTCTTTTCTCAATTACAAAAGCAACACACCCTTATGCACAGGCCTAATACCAGTCTATTCAGAGGTCAGGATGTCAATAACAATAATAACAGCAAGTTTGTGTCATTCCATTGTGTACTCTCAGCCTTACCTCTGAACTGAGGAAAGAAAACAAAGTTGTAATACAGGGAGCTGGGAAAGGGTGGGAGAGGTGAAACAGAGAAATGCAAGATATAATTCCACTGTCTGGCAAGGCAATAGAGCTGAGAGGAACTTTCAGTATTGCCTCACCAAACTCAGATAGTTTCTTAATATTTAGATGTCTGTCAAGAATAGGAAACAAGAAGAGTTACCTGGAGTATGCCCGCTGAATTATTCAGCTCTGTTGTCCTGGAATCATTCGGAGAATTGGAAATAACCATCTCGGTGTAGTCTTTTTAATAGCTCAGTAGACAAGTAATTGATTTGATAAACATTGTGCTATCCTACTGATTTTTTTAAAGATAAATTAAGTGAGTATTGTGCATTCATGTCAGGCAAATAGCATTAAAGTACTTTGATAGTCACAGAACTCTACCAAATGGATCCTCTATTGATTGGCAAGAGGGAAGATTTTAGGCTTTGAGTTATGTGGGTGTACATCTCCCCTATATCAGCTGCACTCAGCAGAGTTATAGCAGCGTGGCACTGCTCAGATGTCAGGGCTTATGCATTCAGTTCTGAGCTAAAACTGGAAGAAACCCAGGGACAATGAACGTAGATTTCCCAATACCTTAAAAAAGAACATAATAACTTCTTCCACATTTACGGAAAAAATAGTTGGCTTCCCTCAACTTAGCCATGGGTTTGTCTCATGCGGGCTTTAAAAAATTCTGGAAAGATCGAAGCAACACCCATCAATATATTCAACAAAGGTTTAAATAAAGCATAGGTTGAGGACGGAGCACACTGTTGCCATTACACAGGGTCTGTGCCTGGCTGGAGCGCTGCTGGTTGTACCGCCGGTTCTCGAGGTGGCAGCCAGATTTCTGCATCCAAGCGGGCTGTCTCTGCATGGAACCGTGGTGTTGGGCTGGGCTCCTTGTTTTGCACGTCTGTTTCTAAAAATACATATTGTTTGTCAGGATGATGTTGAAAGATGGTTCAGAAAGGCTGGACCTCGTTGTAGTCCCAAGGACTGAGAATAGAAATGGGGATAGCTGCAGAGCAAGCCAAAAAATGATCTAAGCATTGGAGATGCCTTGATCCATTCCTCACCTGACACAGTTTGCTGCCTTTCCTGCTGCCGACTGCAGCTCAGGAGGCCTCCAGTGCTCTGTCATGGGTGTGGGTGCCACCTTCGTAAGAAACTGTTTGTGTAATGGGTAGTGAACTGGGCAGTGCCTCACGTAATATTTGTATTAATTATACATGATTATATATACTATATACAATTGCATATTGCATATTATACTTTGTATATGATATAATTGTATAATTGATATGCACATTTTATAAGGCACTATTCATAGGCAGACAAATTGTGTATACTAATTAGGTATAATTATATGTAGTATTTATTAATTACACTGTATATGTGACTTATATAATTAATATATAATCAGATATAATAGTGTCCATTATTTGCACAAAATTCATTCCAGAGTTGGCTTAAATACAAATGCTGTGGTTCTGTTAAACCCACTTTTGCAAAGTGCCTGTGTTACGCACACACCCAGGATGGAAGCAGAGCCATGCCCTCAGATTTCACTGCCAAATTTCCACATGCCCGCTGTAGAAACAGGGTGCTCCCGTTCTGAAGTTATGTCCTAATATAGGGCATCCACAGAATTTGAGACCCTGAAACATACTCAGAGCCCATAGCAGAGAAATCCCCAGCACATCTCCGGTGCCATGAAGGGAGGCTGTTGTTTGGACACAGGGGTCCCTTTGGTTGGCCTGGATTTTACCTGCTCATGTTCTGCTCCAGTGCATTGGCAAAGCAGCCGGAGCAATTGCAGGGCACTCCCAGGGCTGCTTGTGTGCTGTTTGTGTTTTGCACCCTCGCTCACCTCTCACCTGTCTGACAGCATGCAAACAAGCAGGCAAACATTTTTGTGAAACAAGGAAGCCCCGACTGAGATCTCTTGCTGTGATTTTTGGAAGCATCAGGGAAGAGGGATCAGAGGGCCAGAGGAATTCCTCAGGGAGGGAAGAATCGGCTGTACTATGAATTTCTTTTCTTTGCAGGGGGTGGAGAAATAGCGACAGGTGAGAGGAGGGGCTGGGAGTTTTAGCCAAAAGCAGCTTTCTCCTCGTCTTGGTATCAGGACATGCTGCAAAGGCAGTGCTAAGCACATCAGCACCCCAAGCTGCCAGCCACCACAGCGCTTAACGTGGTGCAAGGTCTGTCAGTGCAGAGTTCAGGCTTTTTTGGAAAGAATCAAACTGTTGGCAAAAAGTGACACCAAAAAAAATGAACTTAAAGAGGCCATCTGAGCAGCCTTGAAACCCGTTTGAACCATGCTGTTGTGACAGACTGCATCCTGTCTGTGTGCATGCTTGCCTGAGGATTTACTAATACATATAATGTTAATTGCCTGCTTATGTCCTGAAGCAGGGCTGGGAATGAATTTCAGGAAAAGAGATGTTTGTTTTGCACAGGCGCCCACATCCCATATACTTTCGGTCATGAGGAAATTGCCCCGTACCTCCACCCTGCGTGCGCTCGTGCCTGCGGCTGTAGGCACCGAGCAGGGAGAAGCCACGGAGCCTGCAGAAACCACTGCACCCCCATTCCTCTGCCTCCCCCAGCATGGAAAACCCGATCGGGAACAAGCCCAGGGTCTATGCGCTGCTCCTGCCTCAGCTGAAGCTGTACAGCTGTTGCCTGAGTAGAGAAAGGGATTGGATTTCATGGGCTGTGTAATCTGCGACAGCGCTCTTTGGCTTGGGGATAGCAACAAGCCTCACCCAGGCTTAGCCATCCCCTTTCTGCCCGTGGAGGAACGCCCCGGTCGACATAGAAGGAAAATTGTTTGCTGAATTTCTGCACAGCCCTCCTTCCAATTGCTGGAGAGAGAGGGGGGAGTGGGAAAGAGAGAGAGAGAGTTTAAGGCAGGCTCTGCACTGGTGTTCTGGGCTATTTCAACTTCAGGGCAACTTTAGAGAACTTCAGTTATTTTTGGTAAGTCTTTTTATTATTTTTTTTTTCAAATCTCTCTCTTTCTTTCTTTTTTATCTTTGATGCAGACTGCACAAGTTTGCAGTAGATGGGCTTTAAAAATTGCAATGGGATGTGGGCGTGTGCACTTGGTGTCCTTTGATGTAGAAGCTGGGCATTCTGCTAATAAAGTTGTAATGCTCCCTGCTGCTCTACCTAATAAGAAAAACCTGCAAATGTAGCAGGTTAAGCGTTACCACTGGGGGAAAACCTGGTGAGAACTTCAGCCGAGGTGCATCCCACCTGGTGTGCAGTTTTGCCTCTTTCTTGCATATGTACGGTCAGGGATGAACGAATGTGTGCCGCCCGCCCAAAGTTTCTGCTCTGCTTTTTTAATGCAGGGGTTTCAAACTTGGGCACTATGCCTCCCGAAGCTTTCAGAGGCATGTTGATTCTCCGTCCTATACACACCCCTCCATTCAGTAATCTCTATTCCAGATCACGCACGTTGTTTTTCTGACTTCCTCCCTCTGTATACTTAACCCATCGTATGATCTCAAACATAGGGAAACTCTTTGTAGTACAAAGAGCCATAGTCCCAATTGCTGCAACGAGTTGCAAGGTGCAAACTGTCGAAGTAAAGTTGGTTTCTGATGCATGTGAGTTTTCTGTGTGCTTTCCCCATGGTTATATTCAGATTTTTATAGTATCTGTGTTTCTTCAAGAGGATATAATATATCGTGGATATTATATCTCGATAAATACCATTTGCAATATATATATTCATATCATCATAATATACTCACTTTGTATTAGGAGCTCTGTATGTTAGTGGTATCTGAGACTAAGATCAACCTTGAAGAATTAGATGACAGATATCCATAACCCTGTCAGTAGAAGTGGGATCCTGTACGTTTTCACTGCAAGGCTGCTGAGACTAGTTGGCAAAATGCTGGGAAATAGCTAACATCTTCCTCTCCACCTGTCTAGGTTCTCTGCCCCATCCATACACCTTAATAAGTTTCCAAAAATATGAGTTCAGATGATCTGAGGTAGGATTTGTATCTGTAGCCACCTGTAGAAAGACCAAAAAAAAAAAGTATGTGTTCTTGAAGTTTTGAGAGAAAATAGAAAAAGCGTTATTCACATGACAAAATACCAAAGGTCTATCCCTCTGCAACAAAAATAACCATTCTTACTTGCAAGTTACGAAACAAGAAACACAGAAAGTTGAAAGGTGGCTCTTAAGGAGGTACAGGACTTTGCTTATGATCACCTGTTGGCATGCACAAGGGAAAACTCCTAAGCATTGCCTTGCTATGTGTTTTACTACAGTAAAGCAAAACTGAAAGGAATTTTGTGGATCCAAGCAAATTACAGGAAAATAATGACAATTTACTTCCAAAATCTATCCTAACGTAGGTCGAAAGTCCGGCATGAAAAGGTTTCAGATGTTTAGCAGCACAGGAAAACACATCACATCTCAGAATGCGTTGGGTTTTATTAGTTATGGTTAAAATGATAAGTGTGACTGGAGCTTTTAATTACAGTAAGCCTATAACAATGGAGTTAACAATAACTCTTCAACCATAAACTGAAAACTATAAATCTGTGTGAGGCCCTCAGCAGTGCTGACATGTTCCGTGATGGCTGGAGCTTTTCTGTGGAAGCATGTAGATTTGTTAGCTAAAATTGCATTTTACTATCTTTGGTGTGGCACTCTCATAAAGTAAACTCTACTATTAGATTACGAGGCTTGTGTAAATCTCCAACTCTGACTCTAGTCAAAGCTTGTAAGTAATTCATTGGGGATGGCTGCCTTCCAACCTCCTATGCAGAGAGCGTTAAAGTCTTCTCAGGCAGACAGGGCAGTGGTAACTTCTAGCACTGATCTGCCAGGGATTTGGAGATGGCGCGTGTTTTATGCTTTTAATTGTCTTGGACGCTCAGTCTGCATTCGCAGCTATGAGGTCAACGTGCCTCTGTTCGCTTTTGGCTGTACTTGAAGCTCATCACTGAAACAAAATCCAACTGCCTGTAATACATGGTCAGGGGAATAGCTCTGATCCGAATTAACCTCCTGCTGACTTCAGTGGGTTCAGCACCCCAAGCTCGGTGCGAGGAGGCCAGGCTGGAGGCACCCTTCTCCAGGAGCAAGGCTGGCAACTTCACCAGGGCTTTCCTTATCGCTCCCAGTGTTGTAGCAGGGGTAGGACGTATGGCATCGGGATCATGCTAAGGTATCATGTCTGTTGTAACGCCACAGAAATGTGCATTGCCTTGGTCTGAACCTCTCAAGTTGCACAGAGGGTTGGTTTTAATTTTCCTTCAGCTTTCTACTGGGAAGCTAGTTCATCCTATAGAAGTGTGAGATATCAAGGGATACACGTAAGGTTTTGTCCTATGATTCTTCACATCAAGAGAATAATCAGAATATAAGCTAGTTTATCATAGAGGTGTGACAGTTACTATATTCTGGGCAAATATTCAAGGAAAAAGATTTAATCTGTTTTCTACATCTAGCTATTGTCACATTCCAAAATGTTCCCAGCATCAGGGAGTAGAAAAATCAGCTTTCCAGCTCTGGAAGCCCATCTCGCTGTGTTTCTCGGCTCCATGCTGCAGGTTCAGTCAATCCAGACCAGCCAGATACAAAAGATCTCCCCACCAGCCCCTCCGCACCGCCACTCCGAGACCAAGCAGGGGCAGGCAGGCTTTTACTTGCAGGCACTTTGCCACATCCTTGAGCCCTTGTACACTAAAAAACTTTTCCTGACAACATCACCTGACAGCTGCTGCCCTTCCTGCTTCCCTTAGCTGCAACTAGTGATCAACCAGCAGGCGATGCCCTCCAACGCCAAGCGGTGGAGCAGCGCCCCAAGCTCCCTTCAGAGCTAAGATCAGGCCCTGCCAGGAAGAGGCTGCTATCTGTACACAGGTGACAGAGATCAGGACAAAGCTCTTGTTTCAAGAATGAATCTCCAGATGACCTGCAGCTAGGGAAAATTGCTAAGTCCATGTGTTCACTAATGCATTTGGGATTTTAAGGTTGAGGCTGGAACTCATGATTTTATAGAGAGGAACAAAACTTAATGCTAGGAGAGGACCTTTCACATGCTGAATACTTCCTATCAACATTTTTACATTCTGTAAGGAGGCTGTAGGTAGCTAAATATCTGGAAGCAACAACTGTCTTACTGCAGAGCATGGGCATATAGTTTGCTATCGGAGAAAGGGAGGCCACAGGTTCACCACTGAAATTTGGCCAAAGTTCAAAGAATCTGGAACGAGTTAAAATACTTTAAGGTTCTTGTGGCACAGAAGTAATAAGCCAAGGTGGCCACTGGAGGCCCCATCTGCTCCCATGGCGCAGGGACAGCAGTTCTGCAGGGAGCCAGTCCCAGGTTGTGGGAACAGCCCAAATCCCAGTGGAATTCCATGGAGCAGGAATGCAAGCGCCTGAAGAAGAGCAGGCACCAAGCCTGTCCACTTCATCTGCCCAATAAAGATAGCAGAGCCTTCAGAGGGCAAAGTTATCTGTTTTTCAAAAACACAAACAAGGAGATAAGGTTTATATGATTTCCAAGCCCACTGATAATTTTCGAGACTCCAAAGTCATAGTAACTGTTCTTCACTGCTGGGCAAATGTTATTTCTGCTCTGTAGTTAAGAGAACAAACACCACTTGATTTTGATAGCAGTGGACTGTGTCTGATATTTGCAGAGTCAGGGGAGCAGCTGTTATCCTCACAGCCATCTGATTTTAAATACCTTTCTACCTGCCCAGTGACCTCTCAGCTCCCTCCCCTTGACAAGTGCTCTGTTTGCAGCTCAGCCTCCCAGCACCAAAAAGCAAAGGTGCAAACTGCATGCCTTTCTTCCCATTTCTGCAACCAGTCCTAGCAAATTAGCCTTATAAATGAGTATTGATACAAAATCTTCCACCATGCAGGGAGTCCTGGATGCTCACACATTTTACCAGCCCAGTCATTCCTATTTTTCCTAAGTATCCTCATACTCCAGCCCTAGAAAACTAATGCCATTCAGCTTTCCACAGGTCACCTCTCCCCTTGCTTGCTGCGTGGTTTGCCCCAGCACTCAGACTTTTGATTCTGTCAGTCACAATTCATCATTCAAAATAAGTACACGCAAGGATTCTTCTTTCCCTGACACATCATTCTCATTTTAGTCCAAAGATCAACCTTTAGCAGAATTATTTGGAGGACTGAATTCAACAATTGAAATTTCAGCTTGAATGAGAAGCTCAAAGGACATGCAGGAGTAAAAACTAGGATTTGGTGAAAAATGGGGTAATAATTCTTCTACATAGCAAGAACTACGTTAACTGATGACATTATAATCTGAAGGGAAAAAGGTCTAAGTGGTATTAGGCATTTTTATTTTGAAAAGTAGTTAGAAAACAGTTTTTGATGAACCTCAAAAAGGTTAACAGCTCACCCTCAGGTCAGATAAGTATCCAAAAGGTTGTTTTTTTTGACTGTTTGAAATGTCTGTGTGCTTGTCAGAAGGTATATGAGTTGGAGAGTTGTGAAAGTACCACGAGAAAGCTAGTGGTTTTGATCACTGGTATTTCCCGGTGTGAGCTGAGCTTTCCCTATTCCTGCTTCTAAAATCAGCTGAAAGGAGAAAACGTACAAGAATGCAAAAATGTCATTAAACATTCCTCAAATATTTCCATATACGCCAGAGTGGATCTGATTTATGTTTTAGTGAAAGGTTGCATTGATTTTTACATGAACTGTGTTCTCGCACTCCTTGACGTTGACTTTTTCACATAATGGGCTTGATTATGAGAAAAAAATACTTGCGCAACACACAGCTCAGACAACTCAGTGCCTAATTAAAGTAACCAGTTAGTCAGAGCCCGTTTAGGAGGCAAACGGCATTTCCTCATGAGAATGACTACATGTAGGTTTTATACTCGTGGTGATGGATGACTACAAAGGTAAATAATGCATGCAGTTGTGAGGGTAACTTACTCATCATGCTTCCGATGAACAGACT